TTAAAATAAAAAAAAAGCGGAAAAGATTTCAAAAATTAATCTTAACTATTATTTCCAAATATAATTATGCTATAAATAATTTTATGGTAATTTTTAATGCAAATTATAAAAATATTAGTGCAAATTTTTAGCACAATCAATAATTGAATCATTTGGATAAATAAATAAATACATTCAACCAATTCATTTCAAACATTTAACACTCACCAAAATTGTCATAGCATTTTGTCATCCTATTTAAAAATTAACTAAATTTTAGGAAAATTTAAAAACAAACAAAAAAAAAATCTCTCAATCATTTCAATATGCTAATATTAAACCACTACCCCTATTCATCTCATACATTCTAACATCGATGACTATCATTCATAACTTTTTGATTGTTTCCACTTTCCTCCCCCCCTCCTTCCCCTATTTTTTAAAGCATCCTTTGTTAGGATAGTATGATTCATATTCAAATGCTATTTGTTTAATGTTCGAATCATATCTCAAATATTTGTCATCAACTAAAAATATATTTCTGTCTGTCAATATGTCTCTGGATGTGTGTGTGTGTGTATGTATGTGTGTGTATGTGTGTGTGTGTGTGTGTATACATTTACATGATTCACCTGTTCAAATTATGCTTTAAAATTCTTCATATCAAATAGCATTTAGGATGAGTTATAAAATAGGAAGCAAAATGAAAGTATATGCAAAATTTTTTGATTTATTTTTTTTTTAGAAATGAAATGGACAAAATTGTCAAATGATAAGATTTTTTTTTTAAAAAAAGAGCAATAATTTAAATATTATAATATTAAAAATATTATAGAAAAAAACATCTAATAAATTATGGCCTTTTTTTCTTTTTTCCATTTTGTTAATTAATTAATATTTCAATTATTAATATGAGGGAAAAGAGGAAGAACAATGGTTAGGATTAATTAAGAACAAATATTATTAAATTAAAATAGCAATATTATAAAATTATAAAAAATAATTGATATCAATGTTAGATAGAATAAAAATAATGATAATATATTTTATTTTTTTAATTAATTTTGATTCTTTAATTTTTTACGGATGGGAGAAAAAAAGAGGAAAAATCACAAAATGAGTGGGAAATTTTAAAAAAAGTTGACAAAAATTATGAAATATTAAATGTGAAATAATACATAAATAAGCAATTTTAAAGTACAAATAAATTCTGAATTTATTTGTTAAAGTTAAATAAATATTTTATTGAATATTAGACAATGTTTAATTATGATTTAAATTAATTTTCAAAAATATTGCCACGAATGCAATTATCTGTTTTGTTATTTAATTCATTTAATCAACAAACGAAATATTTTTACCATTATTATAATTTGAAAAATTTTCGAATATATTAAATATATTACTAATAATTTGTTTTTAATTATTTTTGATACATTACAAAATTAGCAATTCATAATGCAAAATCTGCAAGTTATGTAAATAATGTTTGGAACAATTAACTCGGGTAAGATTGTATTAGCAGCTGAACTTGATGAGCCTCGAGAAAGATTGTATTGGTAGTTGAACTTGGTGAACCTCGAGAAAGATTGTATTAGTACTTGATGAACTTGATGAACCTCGAGAAAGATTGTATTAGTAGTTGAACTTGATGAACCTCGGGATTGTATTAGTAAGTTGAACTTGATGAACCTCGGGAGAAATTGTATTAGTAGTTGAACTTGGCGAATCTCGAGAAAGATTATATTGGTGGTTGAATTTGACGAATCTCGAGAAAGACTGTATTAGTAGTTGAATTTAATGAACCTCGAGAAAGATTGTATTAGTAGTTGAATTTGATGAACCCCGAAAAGATTGTATTAGTAGTTGAGCCTGATGAACCTCGGGAAAGATTGTATTGGTAGTTGAACTTGATGAACCTCGGGAAAGATTATATTAGTAGTGATTAAACATAATAAGTTTAGAATTTTTGTTTGTGGTTAAAAAATAAATTGACAATATCACAATCATAAAAACAAATCCAACAATTTATTTGTTTTTTATCAGTGCAAGAAAAGAAGTCTTAATTAGTAAAAAGAAGAAACAAATATAATTTTAAAAATTATTAATTTTCTTGATGTAATCAGCATAATTAGTAAAAAACGTATCATAAATAGCAATCTTTTTCCAATCTAAACGTTTTTCACGTAAATTACGCAAGTAAAAGTGAATGAAACAACAATTATCAATCAGACTAATTCATGCTGATAAAATTTGTTATTATCATTAATGAAACAAATGTTAATTTCCATAATAATGCATATTCAATATTTGATAAATTTTTATTTCCTAATCGATTAAATCAAATGAGAAGCATCAATATTTTCAGATCAAACTTATGTCCAAGATACAATCTATACAGTATCATCATAATGCAAGAAAGTAAAATTGATTCACTTGACAATCTCATTATATATTCTCGAGAAATATCAAGAATAATGATTTGTTTGAGGATAATAAATCTTTTAAATATTGGTTGACTATGCAAACGATTGCTATGTATATTTAGCATAATCTTTAATTCAATATTTGTTTTGATTATATCAGCTAATATTTTAGTTCAAAAAATCATATAATCGATTAAAACGATGAATTCATAATTCTTAAAAGGCAAAAATTAGCCGCTAATTTATCATCACCCAACGAAAAATTAAAATTAAGTTCAATAATCATTTTCGGATACTGCAATTTTGAATATGAAATTAATCAATTGATGCCTCAATAAAAATTCAGGAAAAATTAGCGTGAAAATATATGTAGAATATTTAAAAACTTAGCAAATCAATCAAAAATTTATTCATTTTAAATCTATTTCAGAAATTAATATTCACATTACTGGTACGATGTTATTCCGCATGGCTGAATCATGCGGAATATCATTGTTGATATGATGATATTCCGCATGATTTAATCACGCGGAATATCTCAATCATATATAAAAAAAAAAAAGAAAAAACGAAGAAATTAGAAAAAATCAATGATATATTTGTAAAAGTAAGAAAAAAAAGGCAAAAAGATAAACAGTCACTTTAATATTCTCCTAAAATCCAACTTTCTTTCAGTTATTTACTATGATAAGCCTTAAAAGTCATGTATTGACATTTTGGTGACATGTGACATTAAGCTAACATTTTTTTAACTTTCTTAATTAGCACAAATGCAAGGCTGTGATAGATGAAATTTATTTAATAACCCAATAGTAAAGAAAAAAAAATTTCCTGTAACGATACATTTCAATTATATTAGCAATTAATTCATTTTTCGACACAGGGCGATGAATATGTTAGCATCAATAAATGATATAAGCTTATTGTTACTCGGTGTCAAAGGTCACTTTTTTAAAATATCTACAATTTAATTTAATTTATTTTGTGCTTCCAAACAATAGTAGTTGTTATGAAAAATTTTATTAATTTTAAATGAAATAGAAATTCAAACAAATTTTTCTTTTTTTTTTCGTTTTTAAATTATCCATTAAATGCTTCTTTATTTGCATTGTTGACAACGGGAACAAAATCCATTCGGAATTGGTCCAATGATCCAATCGATAAATTCACATAACGATTTCAATGCTTTGCATATGTATGAACAATCTAAAATTGTGACAATTGAAAAATTATTATTTTTAAAAGATGAAAAGCTTCATTTTCATTGCTGTTTACAATAAAAAAAAAAAAAAGAAACTTTTAGATTGTGTCATCATTTGTGTCACCATCATATCATGTATTTCATCAACTTTTCAATGTCCTATATTCATTTCACAACAACCATACAACATTTGAATCATCCATTATTGACTCATCATTTTCTATGTCACATATCCTTCCCATTTTTTATCAATAATTAATCAACTAATCGATTTGTTCATTAATTATACTAAATGATCTTTGGTTTACAACAATTTTAATTACACTTATTCAAAGTTTTTGAATAATTTCTAAATTTCTATAACAGAATTTCACATTATGCAATTGTTTACATTATCTTTTCTTATCTTTTCTTAGAATCATTCTGAAAAAAGAAAAAAAAAAAGAATAAACTTCTTTTTATACCTTCTGGTGATGGCGTCGAACTGTCACCACAAAATTCACATGTTCTGGCGCAAATATCTTTAGCCATTGGATCAGTGCAAATCGTACTGTTACAATGACTGTACAAGTCAATACAACCTAAAAAAGATTGGAATTGCTGGAGAAATTTGTTGAAATTTCTGTTTTCTCTATTTTATATGCTTACCAGGAGTTACTGTCGAAGACGATGTTATTCCACAGAATCCACATGTTCTGGCGCAAATTTCTTCAGCCATTGG